AGTGAAACCTTTGCAATGAATTCTGGAATGAGTTTAAATTGTAAGGTGACAAGTATGCACTTGCCAAACATGGACATTGTCTGCTGCTTCCACTGCTAGTGGCCTCAGAGGTCATGGCCTAGAGAAAGATTACGGAACGCAAAGCAAAAGAAAAGACCCTGCAGGTAAAGTCCAATATGAGTACCAGGCAAGCCCTGGACTGCTCCATGCCATACCCATTCCATACAGGCTGAATTTTGAGGACTTCTGTGAAGTTTTTCCTACAGACTTGAAAGGAATGCCTAACGTTGGTCTGTGCTTTTGAACACTGTGCTCAGTTCATACAGGAGAGGTAATCTTGTAGCTTAAGTCCAAAGAAGCTGCCTAACTCCATGCTGAACATGTCATATATTCACACAGATTCTTTGAGTCACTACAGGCTTTCAGTAGAGCAGAGTCCTTACCTATGAGAATCTATTAAAGTAAGACCTTGCTTTCAGCTGAAAAACATGAATTCTCTTCCAAAAAAGGCACACTGCCATCTTGGTCACTAATATCACACCATTCTTCTCAGCAGACCAACAGGCTAGGCAAGTCACCCAGATCTGAGGCAGTGCAAAAGGCTAGTTCTACAGAGGGATGTTTGGGAAAGAAAACACTGCTCCACTTACTGCAGCAGAAAAATCAATGCTTCACTGGACAAGGATGATCTCCAAAGTGTTCCCACTTGGATCCCAGGTATATGAACAAAATTGAACGATGCTGACCAAGAAGCCATGTGACCTCGAACCATAAAGGCATCAGGCCAATGCACAGATCTTAAGGAGCACATAAAAAGTTGCAAATGAAAGCACAGCTGTTGATATAGCAACAGGAGTCCTTCAGCATGCTGGATGCTGTGGATCGATATTGTTAGCTTTGTGGCTGTTCAACAATGAGAGAAAGGGAGCAGCAGTCAAAGCCAGAACACACTGCCATTCTGTATGCTGAAGATAATGCCCAGGAAAGTTCTTGAAATAGCATGCAAAACCTGCTGGAGAAAGGCAAAACAATCTTGGAAGGAAAAGCACTTCCTTGGCATGCGTTCTCGCTCAGTGTCACTGTAGAACTGGGGAAGGGGATAAGGTAAAGTGACAGACTAGCAAGAAGGTGGAGAAACCCTCAGTTCTAGGAGGAACTCTCATGTTGACTGAGGACTCGTCTCCCTTGTTAGCTAATGCTGATCTCAATTTAGGCTGCCAAAAGTCTGTCTGGGGCTGGCACTGGTGCTCTACATTCAGACCATGAGCTGTTCCAGAAAAAAGGCAATTCAGTTCTGGCCATACAATTGCCAGTATGAAGGAAGAGATGGCAAAGCAAAATTGGGAATGTGTAGGAGGGAGCACGTCATCCCCAATGCTCATTGGTATTCTCATGCTCTGAGGCTCTAAAGGAGTAAAATCAACATAAATCAGAACTGCCCCACATTCTCCTCCTTCTGGTTGCTTCATCTAAACCCACACGGTCAAGAGCTTGTGACACTGCAGTGAAGCATTTAGAGACCTAAGGTTAAAACTAACCCAGCAAAACCTTAAGCTCTGACTGTGTGGTAGCTACTCTGTTACTCTCCTTTGTCCACCCCTGAACATGAGCCAGCAGTCTGCCCAGGCGACCAAGAAAGCCAACAGAATCCTGGCTTGTAACAGCAATAGCACGGCCAGCAGGACATGGGGAGTGATTGTCCCCCTGTACTCACCACTGGTGAGGCCACACCTCAAGTACTGGGTTCTCTTGGGCACCTTACTACAAGAAAGACACTGAGGTTCTGCAGCAATAACACAAGGACAACAAAGCTGGCAAAGGCTCTTGCGCCCAAGTCTTGTGAGAAGCAGCTGAGGGACCTGGGGGTGTTTAGCCTGGTCTCAGAGGAGACTCACTCTTGACAACTCCCTGAAAGGAGGCTGTAGTAATGTGGGGGGATCAGTCTATTCTCCCAAGTAACACTCAACAGCACAGGAAGAAATGGCCTCAAGTTGCACCAGGGGAGGTTTAGGTTGGACGTGAGGAAAAATTTCACGGAAAGGGTTATCAAGCCCTGCCCCAGGCTGCCCAGGGCAGAGGCAGAGTCCCCATCCCTGGAGGGATTGAAAAAGCCACGTGGATGTGGTGCTTAGAAACATAGTTTACTGGTGGGCTTGGCAGTGCTAGGTTAAAGGTTGGACTCCATGATCTTAAAGGTCTTTTCCAACCAAAATGATTCTATGATCTGTACTTGTCCACTGCTTCCACTCAGTCTGTGAAGCTCCTCAAGAGCAGGCAGTCTCTATCCTGCATCTCTGCAGCCTTGAGGAACCTCTTATCCCACAATCCCACCTGCTAGATTTGTGGGTCCTAAAGGGATAAAATATCACACGAGAGATGATGAATCTAATGTAAGAACTCAGGAATCTGAAGTTCCGCTGACACGATGGTCTGCATAATATATGAGAAAGAAAAGGTCAGTGGTAGCTGCTGACAGTATTACAGCATGCTGGGAATAAAGCACCAATAGCTATGCTTAGCTCACTACAGTTAGCAGACAGTCTGATCTCACCCAGACTGCACAACTTGGACATTCAAGCTGCAAACTACATGCATTTTCTGCCCTTTTTTTTAAAAAAAAAAAAAAAGCAGGCAAATGGTACTACTAGAAAATATATGGGTTGAGGGCATCAGTGCTATTGCCGAAGCAGAACAATAACAGCTTCAGCCATGATTTATATAGCTAATTTCAGGATAAAACCCTATCTATTTTTAAAAAGAGGAAAAGACCACAAAATTACCTGATTTTGTATTCGGCAGTGATTACAGTTTATACTGCCCAATGTTTCAACCCAGTAAGCATGCAAATAGAATATTTTATTAAAGTAACAGACAAAAGGGATCTTTTCTTCATGTGTCCTCTCCACTGCAAAAGATTTTATCAGGCTGCAGCCAGACTTGCCAGATTTCCTCTCACCTGAAGGGCCTGTCTGATTTTAAGAGAATTATTTCCCAACCCAAATATCCTTCTTTACTTGTATAGGCTTTATTTCTAGTTTATTGCTCATTTGTTCTGTTTTAGGCTACCAAACTGATCTTTCAGTCATCTAAAAGCTTTCAGAGTGAAGAGCCCAAAAAAGAAACATAGATTAGAAGACTGCTTTTTCCATAGACTAGGTGAAATTATTAAAAAAAGGGTAGCTGAAAGTGAAGGGAGAAAAAAACTTTGTTTCCGTCACAACACATTAAACTGGGTTAGTACACAGACTATGAAAGTAGATACTGAACTCTTCTTTGCTCTGAGTTTTTTTTCTCAGATTTCAAAAGCAACATCTTTCAAGGCTTCAGTATTTCTTTTAATTTCATATGCCATTTTTTCCCACGTATTTACAGCTGAAAGATCAATTAGAATTCCTTTGTGGGAAGTCATTCCTATCAGTTCAATTACTCCATGTAATGGTTTCAGCAATCACAGCTAAATATCCATTTTAATTTTTATTTAGAGACTCAATTACCAAGCATCAAGCAGATGTAAACACTTAAAATTTTATCTTCTCTCCTTCCTACACCACCTTCCCCAGTACAAATATCATTTTACCCATCGGCATTCTCTAAACCATAAAAATGCACACGCAGTTATTTAAAGCCTCCGTACAATCCCCGTCACTCTCTAATGCTTCTTTCCCAAACAGACTTGTTGAAGATGAGCCTGTTGTGGTTTGTTAGACAAGAGTGTGGGGATGGAGACACTCCTATCTGCTTCCATCCCATGTGCCCTACAGCTCTGAAAGCCTTCATAGATTTGCCTGTGCCTCAGCCTGCCTCTGCCTTTCAGAGGGCAAGTTAGCAATTTATCAAGGAAGAATTCTGTTTCATGGTGCTATTACATATCTATTTTAATCAGGGGCTGATCCATTTGGGGCTAGTGCTCTCATCTTTT